ATGCCAAAGAACTCAGAGCACAACAGATTCCTAATGGAAGTATCACATCTTTATTTTAAAACACAATCTTTTGGGCATACAGCTCTCTATTATTCAGCGGACAAGAAAACAGATGAAGAGTTTTTCTTGAGGTGATTATTCCATTGATTCCAGTGATTAATAGCTATGAAACAAAACCCAGGAAAACTGCAGATCCTATCCTAGTCCCTGATAGCTGATTAGCAGACTCAAGGACTTAAAATTTTTTTGTAGTTGCCCACAGGCCAAGGATCCAGAAGTGGACTGCAACAGTGCTAACTATGTCTTCTGGTACCTATGGAAGCAATGACATGCTATCTCAGTCCTGACCAAGAAAGAACAGATAGCAATACTACAAACGCCTGCTAGATAAAAGACAAGAAATAATGATGGTGATTATACACACCACGTGACACAGGTGGCATAGAGTCACACAAAGCCCCTAATAAGATGATGAAATGTGGACTCTGTCCTGTGAAGAGAAGGAGGTGAGAGATATGAAGGATATATAATATTCATAACACAGGGATAGGGAGAAACTTGGAGTGCACACACAGCCCATGAGTTTAGGCTGGAAAGTGGATGGGTCTGACTTTTCACCCTGTACGTGGACAGGATGGAGGGGACTCCAGGTGCTGCTGTGATACATGGAGGATTCAAAGGCTTGAGCTGTGGTGAGCACACGGGGAAGAAGACACAGTCCTGCTTGCAGTCGTGACACAAAAGGCAGCTCTGCACAGCTGCTCTCCATGGAGGCCCGGTGCAAGCAGGGAGGCAGTTACCTATGGGCCTTTCCTCTAACCTAGAGAAATGTGCTGTTTTCAGCTTATTGGACTAGCCTTGCCTGCCTGGATTTGTAGGTACATTACCAGAGAAAGGAGAAATTCAAAGGGGAGAACAAATACTTTCTTCTTCAATGTGCATCTTGTGGCTTTGCAGCTTTTTCCACTGAGAATATTCCTCTGAAGTTTCCTTAGTGACTGAGCCAAAATGGGTCAAAGAGGTACTTGATTCACAGCCCCAGAAAAAACACTGCTGTGTTCTCCTCTCCATCATTATCAGTTCCCTGAGGTACCCGCCCAACTCCTTCCCTCACTGACCCTTGCCTGTCCCTGGCCACATCACCCCCTGGGCAAGTCCTTTCCTCCTTCCAGACCAGCCTCTGGCTCACCCCTGCCCTCCTCCTTCATGCTCCTGCAAACCACTTCCCCAGTCGCATCCTTCAGACAACATCTCCCCCTCCAGTGTCAACTGCCCCCACCTCCTCTCCAGCCCGTGGGCTGCCATTAGTGGTACTGAGTGGAAGCCATCCTGTGTGGAAGTGCAGAGTGACTAAGCCCTGCGGTCTGTCCACCTGCAAGAGAGGGTTTGCCTCTACTGTTGCTGCCCAGATTTATTGGGCATTAATTATTATTATCAGCTTCCTTCTGGATGAACAGAGGTGTCAGACAGCCGTGCCCTTCCTCCTTTTATTATAAGAAGGACAACTGTTCCTACCATATCTTAAGCAAAATCTTCACTATCTCCTCTCCCTACTAAGAACCCAGGCCCAGCTCACTGCTGGACTCCTGTGCATGAGATGGGATCTGACTTGAGCACCATAAAGTTCATCCCCTGACAGTTATTCTGGTACCTAACAGAGAGATTTTTTAATTTTTTATTCAAAGTTGGCAAGGTCCTGGTGCCTCGCATGGTCCCTAGAAGAAAGGCAAGAGATCTGGTCCTGCCTGAGGAGCAAGCCAGGCAGCCTTGCTGGTTGTCCTCTGCACAGGTGAGGCACTGAGGCTGCATGCCCTGAGAGGTGTCTCGTTTCTTCATGCTGGTACTGTATCAGCTGCTGGAAAATAGGGGACTAAAAGGAACAGACAGCTGAGCCTTGCCCTTTGGACCTCAGGACAGAAGAGCAGCAACTCTCAGGGCCAACTCATCCCTCAAGTCTCTTGCTGCCTGGTAGCAACCCAGAGTCAGGCTCCTGAGGGATGCATCAGCACCAGGAGAGGTGCTGATGAAAGCTGAGCACTGCATGGGGAAACACCCTGCCAGTGAGGAGGAAATGCCAAGCAAAGGGCTGTAACATAAATCTCTGCATCCCCAGAGCACTTGCAAGTACCAAAGGGAAGTGCCCAAGAGAGCTGAAAGGTGCCACTAGGACCCAGCAGCTGGTTTCTGCCTGGGTAAGACATGTGGGGACCACTCCTGGGACCCAGACCCCACTTCTAAGGAAACATTTACTTATTTTATGCCACACGCAGCAGTTCAGCTTCCGGAGGCATTCAAGGCCTTTCTCAGCAAGGATGAATGCAAAGTTGCATTTCCCACTCTGCAACCCAATTTGCTGCTCCCTGGGGTAAAGACAGCAGCTCTCACACGCCTCCGCAGCCTTGTTTTGCTGTCAGGCAGGCTCAGATGCTATCTGAGTGATTTTGAATGTCCCTCGGGTTCAGGCCCTGCGGCAGAGCAGGGGCTCTCACACGGTGGTATCCCCACAACACTGAGGGGAAAGGGAACCCCCACATCCTGCCCTCCGTCAGTTCCCCTTGAAAACAAACCCAGCCTCCCCCAGCCAGCTCAAAACATCAGGGCCAAATACATCACGCGTTCAAGTTGGAGATAACACAATAGGGAACAAAACCCAAAATAAAACAACAAACAAGTGATTGCACCTCCACAAGATTCTGCCTCTACCTCAGATACCCATGGCAGTGGCTAAGCCCACCAAAGCTACGTTGCAGAAGCCTTTGATTGCAGGGATTAAGGCAGATCCCTGGCTCCACCACCACCACTGTCTGTGCCCAGGGCATCCTGAGTGCAGCTCTCCAGGGCTGTCCGTGCTGCCAGCGAGTCCTGCAGAACAGCTCGAGGAGGAGGAGGAGGCTCTTCCTGTGCTTGCCTTGTGGCTCCCGAAGTTATTGGTTAGGTATAGAGCTCTGGAAGGTGCAGAGGGAATTAAACTCCCCAGTGCACATAATGAAGCTCCTGAAAAGCTGTCCCTATAATTAGCTGTGTACACAGTGAACACAGACACTGGGGGGCATTGCTCCCAGGCTTGTTTGCAGAACCAGAGCTTCATTCATGTCCTGTTTTGTTTCCCTCCAGCACTGAGGAAGAGTCACGTCGCTGTGCCCAATTCCTGCAGCTGTTGTGTCCGCACATGGCCAAGACATGAACCTCAGACACCCATGCAGCGGGCCGGTTCTCCTCACACTGGTCTGGACCACAGAGGTGCGTGACACTGGAAACATCTACAACGCCAAGGCTCCTCGCAGATGTCCCCACAGAAAACCTTCCCACTTTACCTTACTGCAGAGAAAGCAGTACAACCCTTCTCCTCTCTCCTCTCCTCTCCTCTCCTCTCCTCTCCTCTCCTCTCCTTTTTTCTCTTTTTTCTCAAGCACAGTGACGTGGTGTCAGGAGCAGAGGCAAGACATGTGGAGACCCAGAAATTAACTTTGTAGGGCGATAAATGGGGCAGGTTAACAGCAAGGAGGTGAGGGAGTAACAGCAGAAATCATAAAAGAGGTA